GGCTAGTGAGTTCTTCAAACTTAAGGATTACAAGGAAAAAAACATAATATGACTTTGATGTCTTGCAAATTATGAATAAACCATTTTACAGTAATGCGTACGTTAGCCTGTGTACAGACCCCCCCCCCCTCCCCTCACGACACCCTCCCCTCAGGATCCCTCAGGAAAAGCCCCTCCTCCAATTTTTCCTGAGAACGGGGGAGGGGGGACTGTACACAGGCTACCAGAGTTGTGGGCTTAGCTGACCTCAGCCTTTGAGTCAAATGTAAGGCTTATCGAGGTTGACCTTGTTTTGATGAAAGTAAAGTCAAAAAGGCTACTGTAGTTTTTTACTGTTTTGTTTTGATACAAACCTTTGTTTTCTTATGGAAATCTTTCTAGAAAAATACTAGTTAGCATAAGAATAACAAAATTTACGTAAGAAACCAAGAACTGAATAAGGTCAACTCCAGCCTCGTTTCCATTAATGTTCTTAATATTCAACCCCGCTAAACTTCTTGATTGATTGTGACGTCATTAAGTTTTTTGCCTCGGGCGAGAACCCGGTCAGCCCGGTCAGAAATTAACAAACAGCTGAAGTCTGTCGACAGCTTGGAATTGAAATGTAGCCTTTTAATATGACAGAGCTTTGTAGAAAGTTTGGACTTGACGTTGACAGCGCCATAAGTCAGCTCCTGGACTACAAAAACAAGCCGGCGACGCAGGTAGGCGAGTTCATATGAGCGTCATCTCTCTTTTAAACATGGCTCTGTGAAATAGTTTTACCGCAGAGGGACTTTGATTAACAGGACAATAAAGCCAGTTTCTTTTGTTATTGCAGAAGTATTTTTATAGAATTTTGTCGAAGACAATGGCATATCATGGTTTTTGAAATACCTAAAATTATGTTATAAGGTTAACTTATTGTAAGCTTATTATCTATTATCAATCTTAGAAAAGTACATGCAGTTCTCTAGCGCGACCGCCATTGCAAATTAAACTTTGCATAAACGTTTGCTTAAAAAAAAAAAACTGTGTGATTTGACTTCCAGGTTCAGCTTCCAGAAGGGACGATACGTTTACTATGTCAAGTGTCAAGGGAGGTATTCATGCAAGAAGGGATGTTATTGGAGTTAAATGCGCCAGTTAATATTTTTGGAGATATTCATGGACAGTACGATGATCTTTTGAGACATTTTGACAAGTTAGGTTATCCACCAGATTGTTCTTTTTTGTTCATGGGAGACTACGTAGACAGGTTTGTATCAGGCGTTGTATGGGAAATTCATTTTATTTATTTCTTTACTGCAAACTGATAATTATAATTGCCAAAACGAACATTTCATTTTTGTGAGCATTTTTTAATGCCTCAAAATACCTACCCTGTGGGCAGTGGCCCTTCGATCTTCCTCAACAAGTTGGTTCATCTAGGAAGATCGAAGGGCCTCTGCTTGCAATTCAAGTTCCAAAATTTCTGCAGTGTAATCAAAGCCATTTGGAGTTAATGCGGTCACCACTGGCTCCTCAATGGTTTGTTGTTCGTTGCAGCAAAAAGATCCGACCTAGCTGATCTGATCTGATATGGGTCGCCAATTGGTTACAGGGGCAGATCCAGGAATTTTTTACTGTGTGTGGGGGGGGGGCAAACTTTGGTTCACGAAGGACTGTTGAATTTTTTTGTGACCAGCTGAGAAAGCAGAGACGACCACGTGTTTCTCTATTTGTGAATGCCAGTCTCCGTTGGTGCGGGAAATATTGCTTTGTGAGCAGAGGCGAGCAGATCATAGGAGGGTTCCCAAAAACAATTACATTTTTGAATATCCCTGGAATTTAGTTTAATGGCAAAATGCAATGTGCGTTTCATTAACAAAAATCAGCCAGTTAAAAAGTGATATATGATCCTGCCATAGTAACAATTTCAGTCTCAAACAAGTGTCAGGTCTGATGGGGGGAAAGGGGGGGACCAGACCCCCCAGACCCTCCCCCTGGATCCGCCACTGGTTTACTCCCATTTCCAGAGAGAATTTTCATTGTAACAGGGAACTTGATTGGTTACATCTAACAACTTCCCTGCATGAGACTGAAAGCTGGTTTCAACACTGTTCAAGGTTTATAATAAACAAATCGGAGAGGCTACCATCCTTGTGTTCTTTTAGAAGTCCAGTTATTGGGCTCTAACCCTTAGAACTTATCTACCAAAAGGCAGTATTTTGAGTGAATTATGTGATAATTTCCTGCTATGCATTTTCATCCTGGGCTAAGTTCTGCAGTGTTGTTTATAAGCAATTTGTTGAATTCCCACCAATGTTGAATGGTGCATTCTCACAAATCTTGATCTTAACAGATAAAAATCTAAAAGAAAGAGTTGTAGAGTTGTAAATCTAAAAGAAAGAGTTGTAGCTTAAATTGTATAGCCACACAATAAATTAATTATGGAAAATTGTTTTGTATTCATTAACCCATTCACCCCTGAGCCACCCATGTGGATCCACATCCCTTCTACTGCTTGTCATCAGTTTTAATGGTTATGGACAACAAGCCCTAGGATTTCACGGTAACGATCATTTCCATTACCGTGTTGTTACTGTGAACTTAAAATAATGGAACCAAAAAATAGTTTCCCAGTGACATGTCTTGATATATTCAGACTGAGAGATCAAAATGCACAAATATAGTGTTTTTCCAAATGGATTCTTAACTAGTACAGCAATCATTATGACTCAGCTTGTGTATAAACGAAATTTGAAAAAAAAAATTACCGTTTTTCTATCGTCCACCATCTTGAGTCATAATTTCCCATCTTACTGATGACTCAAGCATGAAAGATGTTTTACAGTTAACAGCAGCGATTGTTATGGCTTCCAGTGCCAAGAAAAAAAAGATAAGACTCCAAAAGTTTAGAAACAGTTAGATTGTAGTCTTTTAGTGACAATTTCACTGTGAAACGGATGATGAGGCCCGAATCTCTTAAAGACAAGACAAGATCTGTAGCAAACATTTCAAGTGAGTATACTTACTCCTTTAGTTGGATCGAAGAGGAGTCTTGAGTTTTTGACACTTCAGTGCACACACACTTAACACTTAAATTGGCCTTCTTCTGGCATTTTAATAATAAACATTGAAGTTTTGTGTAAATAATAGCACTTACACGCCGATGTTCTTCATTTTAAAGTATGTATAATCTAACAACATGTTTCCAAAAAACTGTTTCTGTACATTAAAAGAAATAAAAGTGGGTTCCCATGAATTTTCACGGAACCAAAAAATTGTTACCGATAGTTTTCCCATAATCACTGGGCACAGAACCGGAAAATTGTTATGCGTGTGATTTGAAATCCTAGGGCTTGAGACAACTTTGTGCCCTAACTTGTGCAGAGTGAAGAAATCTTTCAAACCATACTAGAATGAGCACAACTCAGTCAAGGTCACTGGAGAAAAAGGCAAGAAACCATGTAACATTGACCTGAAAACTTCCATGAAAATCTTGTTCCACCACCCACCTACCTTTTCTTTCATCTAATCCTGATATCCTAAAAACTTTTCCCACTAAAATGAAGCCTACTAAATGCCCTGCAAAAGAAAAAAATGAGGCAAGAAATACGAAACAAGAGGGGAGAAGCAAAAAATAAAATTCAAGACTGCTGTCAGTGTCACTTTTAAGCCCCCAAATTTTCCCTTCTGCACATGCCTGAACTTCGCAAGCTAATATCTTGCATCTGGATCAGAAGGAGTGAATTGTGCAGCCTGTGAAATATGGCTTTATGGTGTAAGTTTTGGCGCTTTGTAGCACGACAGTGACCAGAAAACCACCCGACTACATATAGCTTCAAAACGCAATTTTTTGGCAAAATTTGTAGGGACAAATGGGTTAACTCACTCAGGAGTCCTTTAATCACGCCTTACGCTCTATTTTCATGATAATAAGAGTCATTGGACTGGAGCACAATGTCATATAATTCCCCTTGTGTTAACAGTGTAGTGATTACTCTCTTTATGCCTGGTTGTATTTTTATCAGGCCATACCGTTTCTAGCCATGAATCTTTGATTAACATACAGTTGCCAAGATGACTAAGTGTTTAGTTGCTACACAGGAAATAAGCAACCAATAATGTTTTGTTTTGTGGCAAGAACCATAAAAGCCATTCTGTCTGGCAAAGTTTGACCTGGCTCAACAATACCCTTGTCACAGGCCAGAAATTCTTCAGTGTTGTCCTGTTGGCTACTAAAAAAGCCAACAGCATGGTGTGTACCTCTGTCCTTATAATTTGTGTTGAAAATCAAAGTGTATAATTTTTTAGGAAGGAATTTAAGGACCATGTAATATTTCTGAAAGGCTACTGAGGCCAAACTCCATCACTACTTCGACTCACCACTACACTCATGACTACTACTCCACAGCTGCTTTCCCAGCTAGGGAAGTCCCAGATTTACACTAGCTACAGCTCTTTCCTTTTTAAGTAAGCATTTGCACAATTCTATATAAATTTATGCATGATTAAAATATGATTAAAGTCACTTTTATGGGTAGTTATTACTCATAAAAGTAACCTCTGTTTTTATTTTCAGAGGAAAGAAATCCTTAGAAACTATTTGTTTGCTGTTAGCGTACAAAATCAAGTATCCTAACAACATGTTTCTGTTAAGAGGAAATCATGAGTCAGCTTCTATTAACAGGTAAACAGTGCTTGTATAAAATACTTTTTTGTGTGTGGGCATTAAATTACATACATGTATCTCTCGAGGGCTTCTCTCACACTACTATAATGCTGCTGTACACGATCAAATCAGATCGCTTCTGATCACATAAATGCAGAAGAAATTTCATATTAATAGACGGATTAGAAAAAATAAGATGCTTTATGTGTAACTTAAGGCCATTTAGCTTTGCAAATATGCAAAGCTTCTGGAACTTCCTGTAAATGATGTTTTTTAAGGATAGTAAATGTTCTGTATGAAAATCTAATTGTCAGTAGAGAGATTGCCAAATTTTCTGCATTTAGAAGACCTTGTTTTCAGCCCTGCAGCAAAGGGGTTAGCCAGGAATGTGTGACTCACTCTTGACAAGGGTCTTACTCTTCACAAGTTTAAACAGTCCTTTAAAAAGGCTATTTTCAGTTGATATCAAGTTCTTTCTTCTCCAATATTTTCTCCAGCTGCTCAATTTTTCTGTGATTTAAGTCTGTGCATGTGGTTTTATTTTATTTTCTTTGTTTGTTTCGTTTGTTTTTTTACATTGTTTTATACTTGTGCTTCCACAAAACAAACCTCTTTAATATAATTCTGAATTACGGGTAATCTATAATGTCTCCTAGCGAGATTAGCTTTTTAGCTATTTTCTACACGGCTTGTACCTTAATTAGTAATATAGGTATTGTCTTTTTTTAATGTCTTTTTTTCTGTGTGTGGTATAAAGTTCTTGTCTTGTTGCAACCATGTCTGAAAACTGTCTTCTCATGAAACTATAAAAGCATGAAAAAAGCAGAGTACCTGGGGACTGCTGATAGAAACAACAATAGGCAATGGAATAATGTAACTTTGAACAATTTACCGGGAAGATTCAGAACAGATAAGGTTGAGCTGTCCAGTTTGCTAACAGCAAATTCTTTGTTTTTGCATTTCCCAGTTTTAGTTAGATCAAGAAATGAATGTTATAAACTGTTTCATGGATAATTATGTGATTTACCTAGTGAGTGCTCTTTAGTGCCTCACTTAAAGGCAGCTATTCCCCTGGCAGTATTCCATTATTACGTTGTTGCAGGCTAATTTCTAAAGTTGGTCTTCTTGCAGAATTTATGGTTTCTATGATGAGTGTAAAAGGAGATACAACATTAAACTATGGAAAACATTCACTGACTGCTTTAACTGTCTGCCAATAGGTAAGTGTATTAATTTAAAGAATTTTTACTGCACTGTTAAAGTAGTTGAACATTATCTCAAGAACTTATTTTTTGCAAGAAAGGTTTTATTCAGGACATTGCACCAGTTAATAACATTCTGCAATGAAGGAGCTGCCCATTTTAGGTGTTACATTTCAGGAGAATTGTAAATAATTATAGTGAACATGTACGTGCTAAGTTGATTAAGGCAAATAATTGTCTTGTTGTATTAAGATCTTTATGGAAGGAAGGTTTCGGTCAAGGTGAAGTAGACTGTCTATTTAGTGCCATAGTTTTACCTAATTTCACTTACGTCTGTCTGTTTATGGTGCTTCCTGGATAGATGCAAACACAAACCTCACTCAAACCATGAGCAAGGTTTGTGATACACCAATCACTATAAACCACCACAGTGGTACAAATAGTTCAACTCAGTAAATCGGCACTATCACCTGATGAAGACCTGCAGTGTGCTGTCCAGACTTTGTGATCAATACTAAAGTGACGATCATGAGACAAACAATAAAACTAAACTCCTTTATATTATTATTATTGTTGTTGTTGTTGTTGTTACTCCTAGTTCCTCTTCTCTTCTCCTCGTTTTCCTAATATCCATAACATGTAGACTCTAATACTTTGTCCTCAGATGTTGCTAGTCTAATATACAATGCTGTGCACAATCTTGTAGTGATGCCTTTTGGACCCTAGCAACATACTCCTAGCTGTCTAACTTTTAAGGAAGTCTCAGATCTTCCAGAAATGTTTATCATTGGGCCTGGACTTTCTGGCTTTTGGGCATTCTATAATTTTCTTGGGGCCTATCCTGGATACCTGTGGCATAGGTACAGGCGCTGTACTTTCCATGACACTCCATTCTCCTCCCTTTTGCATGCTACATCATTGATCACCTTAAACAAGGTATTCAACAAAGTGTGAAGATCATTAAGATGTTTGTTTTACTTCCTTTCAGCTGCTGTTGTGGAAAGCACTATTTTCTGTTGTCACGGAGGTCTTTCCCCAGATTTGCGGGACTTTGATCAGGTGATATATATATGCAGAAATGGCTCTTCTCAACAGTAATTTGAATAAAAGAACTGAAAGCCTCATGCATGCTTCATTGGCAAAACGTGTGGAGTGGATTGATATTTTAGGCAGATTAGTAAATCATTAACAGCTGATTATTACGACTAAATGGCGGGAGGAGGGCTTGGATCCTTGACAATAATAATTTCATCTTTAACAGCTACAATTAAGTAATTCAGTCAGTACATTATGCAATCCAGATGTACTACTTCAGATCTCAGATCTGAGAAAAGCTAAGAAAGCTAGAAAAAAGCAAGGCCAGTAAAACTCATTAACAATTGTTCATAAAGACATGCAAAGTGTTGCACAGCACATCTCTTGGAATGGGGATTTTCTACATACTGGCATGTTCTCTGAAAGGGAAAAACAACTATTCATGTTTAGTTTTCTTTAGGATAAATTTTGTTGCTGAGCTTAATTGTCCTTTATGTTAATTCCTTTATAAGAAGTAAACTAACACCTCCTTTTCCTGTTCTTTAAGTTACGTGAAATGCAGCGACCCATGGATGTACCAGACAAGGGACTGGTGTGTGATTTACTGTGGTCTGACCCAGACGAGGTTTGCCACACCTACTTGTCAGCAAGCATTTCTAAATGCGTTCATTGAGAAAGGTGGAATGAGGGTGGAAAAGAGGGATGAAGGGTGGAGGGGAGTGGAGAAAAGGAAACACTTCTCCCCTCCCTTCCCCTCCCCTTCCCCTTCGCCTTCTTCCACTTTTTTTGGAGGGAAGGGAGGGGGCTCTCATTCCAACTTTCACGCAACAGCGTGCATGCAAATACTCGCTAATGCAGGCTTAAGTTTGTCTGAGCTACTAAGTTTATTTAGCCAACCCTGCTTTATGTGTTATCATTAGTCAGATTAACGTCAGGTGTTAACATCGTCCTGCCAGTGATTTTACCTATACCCACGGTGAGATACATAGAGGATATTACACGGTGGTGTGAAGATATGAATTTTATTTTCGAGTGGCAAAACAATATTTTACGAACGAGTGCAGTGAGTGAGTACAATATTGTTTTTGCCACGAGAAAATAAAATTCATATCTTCAAGCCGCCATGTAATGTTCTTTTTATTATATAGACAAAATGACATAGATAAAATAATAGAGGGAAATGACCAAAATTACGTCATCGATAAACTCACGTGTGAGATTATGGAAAATAAACCGCTGAATGAATTTTACGAGTGGTATATTTTCCAGTAAAACACTTGTGTCTATATAATAAAAAGTAAAAAAACCATGGGTCACTTGATTTTCATTAGGAAATGGCACACTTCTTATGGAAATTCTGCAGTGACTTGTGCCTTTCAGCGGAATGGAAGCGAAAATGAATGAGAGGAAATGGATGTGTGTAAAAACAAGAGGTGTTAATTCCTGCTTTCTTTATATTCCTTGTTATCTCCTTACCTTCTAAATCTAAATCTAAATATCGTTATGTCGGCAAAATCGTTTGGGACATCACGCCAACTCTAAGATAATAATAAATAAAACTATACCAGAATATACAAAACTATTAAAAACTATTAAAAAACTACTGATAAAAAGAAAACTAAATTAGTTTGCTTTTAAAAATACAGAGGGATTGGCTGGAGACAGTTTCTTCTGGAAGTTTGTTCCATTCAGTTATTGTCCTGGGAAAAAAAGAAAATCTAAAAATATCTTTATGTCCTTTCGGTACAATAAATTTAAAATCATGGCTTCCCCGGGTTCTCCTTTTGCTTGTTATCAAATAATCCCCCCAGTCCCCATCTAGGAGGCCGTGGCACATCTTGTATATAGTGGAGAGCCTTTAGCAGTCTGAATGGAAATCGCAGCAAAAACACTCACCTTTCTTATTCCAGGCAGTGCTTGTCACACAGGCAAAATAGACTGAGGCAGGAGTGATCAGTTCTATTAGAATTCGTATTAGAACTACATCTACATCATTTCTGTATTGTAATCGTAACAGTTTTCCATTACGTGGATGAGAAAAATACTTTAATGAAGGAAAGATTAAAAATTCTATGGAGATCGAAGGTAGAACAAGACCTCACCCGCCCTCCTTCGTTCCTGACCGAGTTACTACAAACACATCAGCCTCCTTTTGTCTTCTTGAGTTAGGAGGAGAAAAGGAGGTTCTGTTCGCAAGGTGTGGTTCAGTCGGAGCGGGTAACTCAGTCTACATACCGGCACTAGTTAAACACATGTCAGACAGTCCAGTAAGGGTTATTAGAGACCTTAAGATACATTGTTACCGTGTACGGGTACGGTTACGGGTAAATTAGCGGTACACGTAGCCATAAATACGGGTAGATTGCCTCTTACCCCGCGGGAGAAATGGCTAGGCTACGGGGTAGAAGTGGTTACGTCATTATCACATCTGGGAGATAATGGTTGCCTTTTATAAAACTACGAGGTAAACATGTTCGCTTACCCGTACCCGTAGGCTTAAGGTCACTATTAAAGTGTTGATTTACCGGTATCTCCTCATTTTTCTAGGACATAACTGGTTGGGGAGACAATGACCGTGGAGTTTCCTGGACATTTGGTGGTGATGTAGTGCGATCATTTTTAAAGAAACATGACCTGAGTCTTATTGCACGTGCACATCAGGTTATATATTCATGTATTTTTATAGTCATATCCCAAGAACATGGAGCTCTTTCGCTTTTGTTTTCTTTCTCTTTGTTGCTTTTCACATTTTGGGATTTTTTTCTCAGGGTGGCAATTCATGGTTCTGACATGAAATATATCCCCTGAAAAACAGACCTGGCAGTCAGAGGAAAATAGCAGATATAGAGTTTGTGTATTTTATACCTTTTTGGTTCTTCTCTCAGGTTGTTGAGGATGGCTACAGGTTTTTTGAAAAACGAAAGGTATGTCAAGCATTTGGACTATGAAGGCATTGTGAATTGAACTCTCTTATTACTTCAGTGTTGAACAAAAACATCTATCGCCCTGTCACCCACGTCATCTTTACCAGTCATAAAAGCAGAAGACATGTCCATGCACAGTCACCAAATCAGCCCAACGTGTCAACGGATAAAAGCCTACAACAGAAAACCAATGGATGAGGTCATAACTCTATCAGTTTTATTGATCATTATAGAATTTATTGAAATTCAGTATTTTTCTTTAGTTTGCACTTTTATAGACTGTTTTTGAGCAATTTAATACGCACTGACACAGAGGGAGAAGACAGAAATGACATCTGCTTTCAGTGACGGGTGTAACTTTTTTTTAAGTGTGCAATGAAAGTGAAAATCACGTGACTTGGATTTACAAACACGTGTGAACCACAAAAGGTGCAGTTCTATAGTTTATTAAACAATTTACAAAGTTAACCTTCGAGTGTATAAACAGGTACGATTTTTGTAAGTATCTCTAATTCATCTTTCCTACTGAATACTTTGTTTTCCAGTTGGTGACGTTGTTTAGTGCTCCAAATTACTGTGGCGAGTTTGATAATGCTGGTGGTGTCCTAGTTGTCAGCAAAAACCTGATGTGTTCTTTGAGTATACTCAAGGTAAGTACGTTTTAAGCCACTTAAAGGTTCGGTCCTACAACAAGAAAATCAGTTGAGGAACAAATTTATTTTAAATCTGTGAGGCCCAAAATTAAACATTGCACATTGTGTTACGGAGGATTATAGTCATATCCTGTATATGCATAATTTGTGGGTGCTTTTTTGCTGTTCACGCCCTAACAGGAATGTGATTAGCTCTAAAGTTAGTTCCTTAGCTCTATCTTGTTATAGTCTCTGATGAAGTGTGTGTGATCAGTGACAAAACCAGTCGGAGAAATAAATTGAATTAAGAAGATACAGTCGAACCCCGCTATTTCGAAGTCCCAAGGGAGAAGGAAAAAAGTTCGAAATAGCGGGGTTTTGAAATAACCGGGGAAGCGTAAAGGGGAAGGGTAAATCCAAGGGAATTCGATCTTCCTTCGAAATAGCGGGGACTTCGAATTAACCGAGTTCGACTGTACTTGTCTGCTTCATGCTCCTCACTAGTGTTCATTTAATCATATGCAAGGGATGAGAGAGTAAACATGATTTAGATGATCTCTCTTTGTCTGTTGCAGCCTGAAAGTGTGACAGTCACAATAAAAAGTACACCAACCCAAAAGAAGAGTGGCCTCTTTAGTCGTTCCTCCAACCAGATTCAAGTGAAATAGTATTGTTTGTTTTGAACATTGAAAGAAGTTGGTTGCCCTGTACAGTTGGCTCATGACAATCTCTTGTTGTAAAAACTGAAGAACTTCTGTAAAAAACGTCTGTTTTATATTATTTATTTTTTGAACGTTTAATTTATTGAAAGCTCTCAGAGAGTTCACTCCAGGTGATTCTAAACTATTTAAGTCATTTTTATAGTTTGAATAAAGCAGATTTATTGCTTTCATGGTGGCAGTTATGTTTATTTTGTTATTCGGTCACAAAGAACCTGCAACAGCCGCTTCCTTCTAACAAACATTCTAAATTCTACCGTAAAGTTCCCAAAGTAACGACCCCCCGAGAGTAGCGATAAAATTTAACAGGTGTTAGCAAATGCCAAAAGTAGCGACCCTCCGACTTTTGAAGTAGCAACTTCAAAAGTGATTTCCCTTCTTGTTTATGGAAATAACGGAAATTTTAGTTACAACAAGCTTTACCAAAGTGATCCGAGATTATTTTTTAACGGTTGTAATCATCTTTGACATTCCTTTGTGTAACTCAAAAGGTGCGTTACATCTTTTTTTTTTTTCGAAAAGTCTTCCTTTCGTCTGTGATTACCCACCGTAGTTACTAAAACAAGGAATGACCTACAATGATCTACAATGACCTACAATGACCTACAATGATCTACAATGACCTACAATGATCTACAATGACCTACAATGATCTACAATGACCTACAATGACCTACAATGATCTACAATGAGCTACTATGAGCTGCTAGGAGCTAAAATGAGTTAAAATAAGCCCTACAATGAGCTACAAAATGACAGACAATGATGTTAAGCTACGTTTGTCGTGTGTCACGCTTGGATGTGACACTAGGCTCATGGTAGTAAATTGCCAAGCACATTTTGAAAAGGCAAAACAAAAATAAAGCCTGATCTCAGGTAACTTGAGAAACTTGAAAATAAATTATTGTAATCGCGTTTTTACCGGTAACACTATTATACCCTGTATTGATGGAAGTCATCCTGCGCCTGCGTGAATCCTGTATTGTCTCAGTACTGTGACTTTTGTCCAAACCATCCCTTGCAACCTTTCCCGTTAGTTGTGTTTTGTGTTGTCTTTTTTTTCAAACAAATTAAACAGTACTGTGACAATACACTGGATTCACGCAGGCGCAGGATGACTTCCATCGATACGGGGTATAATAGTGTTACCGGTAAAAACGCGATTGCAATAATTTATGTTAAGTTTCTCAAGTTACCTGAGATCACGCTTTATTTTTGTTTTGCCTTTTCAAAATGTGCTTGGCTTAGTGTCACGTCCAAGCGTGACACAGGACAAGCATCATAATTGTCTGTCATTTTGTAGCTCATTGTGGGGCTTATTTTAACTCATTTTTTACTTATTTTAGCTCCTAGCAGCTCATAGTAGCTCATTGTAGATCATTGTAGGTCATTGTAGATCATTGTAGATCATTGTAGGTCATTGTAGGTCATTGTAGGTCATTGTAGATCATTGTAGGTCATTCCTTGTTTTAGTAACTATGGATTACCCACACCGTAATCAAATGATAATTATTCTTTTGAATATTTATTTGAAAAGCAATAACATGAATATGCAGAGCGAAATACAAATGAAAAGGATAGAAGTTAATGGAGTTATAACTCGGAGTTTCACGCACTAAGCGATCATCAGACTAAATATTCTGAAAACAGATTTTCGGTTGTAAGTTGGAAATTTGAGATTCATGGAAAGCAGACGATCAAACCAAGGATAACATCAGCCTTGAGTTAAACCAAATCACAGCCAAGCTCAGCATAAATGACAGAATCGAAAAAATGGCAGAGAGGCAAGCATTTATCTCCCTCAAGAACCACAAAGAAAACTTTGAAAACAACCCAAAACCAAACAACTCAAGGTTACATAGCAAGCAAGTACTGGACAGGATCCGGTCTAAAACCAATTCTAATCAGTGGAGAAATACAAAGTCAGTAATCGATTGGTTTTCAAACATCAGAGAAAAGAAGAAGCATTCATTCCTAATTTTTGATACTGTTGATTTCTATCTATCCATCTCAGAACATCTTTTAAAGCTATCTCTAACATATGCTATGCAATTTACAACCGTCTCAGACGAAGACATTGAAATCAATACGCACTCGAGGAAAACACTTTTGTTTGATAAGAATGAAACCTGGATCAAAAGATGTGACTCCCCCATGTTCAATGTCCCAATGGGTTGCTATGATGGAGCGGAGGTTTGCGAATTGGTTGGGCCTTTTATCCTGAGCAAACTCTCATCAGAATACCCAAATGACAGCATTGGCTTGTACAGGGATGACGGACTTGCCGTTTCTAAGAACATGAATGCAAGATCAGCTGATAAAGCCCGGAAGGTTTTCTGTAATTAGGGGCTGTCCACACTTGGTGCTCAGGAACCAGTGCCTGGGTACTGAGACAAAATGGTGTTGTGTTCACACTTTGAGTACATAGCTACTGCTTTTCTAACCTGTTCCGGGTTCCGAGATAGTCGGGCCTACTGAATTGAGAAAGCGCGACAAAAATAAAACGGAAGGAAACTGCCAACTTTTTGCGTGCCTTTTACTTTCACGTCTTCCCCACTATCTGAGAGCCTGGAACAGGCTACTCCTTTTCGCCCTGTCAGGGCTATTTTGAAACATGAGCTTATATTAGCAGTAGCCTGTTCACAGACCCACTATTTTCTCTTCAAAGTCCGTCGAGCGCAGGTGATAACATATAAACCGCGGGGGATTTGTGCCGATGTTTTCGAAAAGAACGAAAAGAAAAATAACACAATGACACACTCACATGACACAGTACTTTCAAAACAATGACACGACATATGACATCAAGTGGCGTATCATCAAGAGGGCAAACGCCTACGAGGGAAAACCGTCACACTGCAAATTTTAGCCTGCGTACAGATGTCCCCCCTCCCCCAGAAAAAATCGGAGGGGGACGTCTGTACACAGGCTATGCAAATTTTTGCCTTTCTGAGAAACTCTGTATCTTGAATGCCCGCGATACTCTCCTAAATAAACGATCCGAGCTGGTAACCAAATGTTGTCACGAGAACAAGTTCTTCGCAACCAATCACAGAACGTGCTGCTCCAACCGTCCATAATAATAATAATAGTAATAAGTATAGGTAACAGCATGATTTGTTAATGATATTTGGCATAAATAGCACGAGTGATATTTCAAAATTGATATACATAAAAATTTGAGACAATTTTGAAATATCACGAGTGGTATTTACTCCAAATATCACGTACAAATCATGCTATTATTTGTTTATACTACTACCCGCGAAAGGTTTGTAATTTTCACATGTAGGTATTTCAAATTCAGCAGAAATACCACTGCTCTAGGCCAATCAAATTACAGAAATTTCTCATGTAGTAGTACAATAATAATAATAATAATAATAATAATGACTTTATTTTAGTGTCAATGTATTTAGCTTAACAGTTACCTGACTGGGGCCACTTTTCCTATGTACTGGCACACTAATCTATTACATGATTTTTAAATAAATGATCTTACTTACAACCTAAAACCATATACAAATGTACAGGATTCAAAATTTACACAGGTCACAGCAGTTACTATTATTAACTACATGGCTCGAAAGGTTCACACTGCATATATGTTTCTTGAATGCTTTAAGGCTTGCAGGAAACATATATGCGGTGTGTACCTTTCGAGCCATGTAGAATCTCAAGTTTCCAACTTAAAACCAAAAATCTGTTTTCAGAATTTTTAGTCTGATGATCGCTTAGTGCGTGAAACTCCGAGTTACAACTCCATTAACTTCTATCCTTTTCATTTGTAGTACCTCTGTATATATATATCTAAGAAGTTTAATAATAAAAAGCAAACACACAGAGAAAAAAGTAATCATATGCAACTGAAAGTAATGGCAAAAAAGAAAGTTCAAGAATGTTTTTTTCTCCTATATAGCTAACGCTAAATGAAACTAAAAATTAAACTGTTGCAAAATGGTTTGGCTTTTCATTCCATTAACATGTCTTTTGAGTGCTCACAGTAAACAACCTTGTTTAAGAGGTGGCGTTTGCTTTGAGAACTGCTATTCTATGGAAAAAAGATTGAGGCACTAACCACCATAAAGAAGTTTATTCTTCCATTGAGAATGGGGAAAATGAAAGGAAGTGTTAGTATTTCTCTTTCTTCTCCGTCAGTGTGTCTTTGCGTAATTCTCCCCGGTATACTTCTTCATTCTCCAACATGTATCTATAATTCTTTGTTTATTGTATTAAATATTAATAAGATTCATTATAAGTGAAAAGATTAGTCTCTTTAATTCGATATTTCAATTAAGAATGTTTTTTCAAACCTGTTCTGCACAGGTCAGGTCAGTCATAAGGTCCAGGAACCAGCTCTTGTTTGTTAGTAATAAATACTATCACCACCTCAGTTTCTGATGTCACGTGGGATTATTTGGCGCCATGAACTGTGACTATTTCTTGGTTACTTAAGTTCACTTCCTCCGTTTTCATAAATGTCTTATGTGTAGTGTACTGACCACAATTATAATTTTTCTAAACACAATCATTAACCACAGGATCCATCATTCCAACCATCCAGCCATCGTTCATCAACTTTTGAACAATCAAACTGTGGTTTTCCAAGTCTTTTGTTCACATCATTGTGCATATGACACATCCACTGACTCAAGTTATGTCTGCTGCTAGCATCAGGAGGGTGTGTTTGTAACCTGAAGCAAAAAAGATATGATACAGCATCTTTCTCTCAAAAGCTTATTTTGCTGTTTGAACTGCATTTTGCGAAGGTATTAATTTATTCAATTCTTGATGCAGCTGTTTTTTATTTTTTTCATTGTAATAACATCAGACCACCTTAGTTTGAATATTTGACTGATTTTGAGACATAAAAGCACTTGCTGAAAATTTAAATTAATTACAAATTCTACACAATCAGTGCAAGTGTTTATTTGCTGTTGAAGTACCACATATCAATACAGTTCATAAAACTCATATTCACCTTTGTCGTAAATGAGTGGCACAATCTTCACAAGGAAAAAATTTTGAAAAGAGTTTGATAAAACTGGCCATGTCAGATTGCTGTTGTTGTGTAGGATTGTCAGGATAATATGCAGCCATTGTGTGAAGAAAGTTCCATGTTGATCTTCCAAGCTCCAAAATGTCCACAGGGCATTCTACTACAGAGTCTGCCTGTGATGTACCATCCTGGGTTTGTGATGATGTACTACTATCATTACTCTGCAGAGAAATTAGTAGAGAGTTTTCCCTTTATAAAAAGCACTGCCTCACATACATACTAGAAATATGTAAACAATGACCAGAAGAAGAAAGAAAGAGAAAGAAGCCCAATAAGGATAAGAAAATGTATGAAAGAGGAAATTAAATTAAAACAAGCTTTTCCAAGAATCAAACCCCTGACATTGTATTTGCTGTGACTATTCTTAACTTCTACACAAAGTGTAGATATTGATGCGGTTGAGATTATTTTTTTCATTAAAAGCCTTTCCCCCAGATTTTCTGCTGCCAAACGCCATTTAAAGCTGATCAAGCCATATTATAAACCAAATTTCAACACAATTCATTGCATTTATAAAAGAACATATTCCCAACAAAGCCAATACAACTCATCTTTTGCAAAGTAGGACATAGTAAACCCTGCTTTAAGAACACACACTTAAAACGAACACCTCGTTATTACAGACAGTTTTCTTTGTCGCAGGGAAAGCTAATTTAACCCACTTAAATAGGGACACCCATTAATGCAGACAATGGACACTTATTTCTTGACAAATCAACAAAAAGAAAGCCAACCTTGCTAATGCAGACTCTTCATTATCAACTGTGTCCTGTAATAGACAGACACGGGTCCTTCATTTAGACCACAAGGTAAGCTGTACACCTGATCCCAGGTTAACCACAAGGTCTTCATTTGGACCACAGGGTCTTCATTTAGTTCTCTGGATCTTCAGTTAATTGTCCACTTGGCCTTTATTTATTTTAGTCCAAAGGGCCATAGAAACAGAAATTCCAGCCCTCCCTTTTTGGCCGGAAACCTCCTGGTTTCAGTGAATATTTCCGGCCTACCATTTTCACTTAATATTCTCCCAGTTTTTGAAACTCTTCCTAGCCAAAGGAAGATAATGTTTTCTTTGTTTAACCAGTCTTTTTAGCACCATTCTTTGCCGTTTGTCTGTAATATAATATTGGGCGTGGCATTTCCATTGACTGTGATCTCAAAGTGTGGGAAATGGCATCTTAGAGGCATATATCATAAAATTTTTGCTGGACAAGCATGCCCCTGGACCCTCCCTAGAGACTCGTGTCTTTGGTGCTCCTTGGCGCGTCTATGCCACTCCAAAAACCTCCCTTTTTCAGTTATTAAAGTTGGAATCTTTGTAGATAGGTCTTTCTTCTTGGCATCTTCATTTTAGTACTGAAAACATCAATCCCCATAACTAACAATTATGTTCAAGACATCGAAACTAACCAAACTTTAAATTCATGTTCATCTTCATTTTTAATGCGATCAAAGGACAAAATGGAGCTAAATTAATAGCTAAATAATGGTGGAAATATTTACACGTAAAACTGTGCTTGGCCAAAATGTCTTTTATAATTACTCTGAGTAACTTAAAGGCCAGGACAATAAAGACCCAGCAATGATCTGGTCAATTGTACCACGATCAATCCCAACCTTCACTGTCATAAAAGTTATTACCCATTGTCCAGAACATCCGTGAGTCTTTTCTTTTTTCTTTTTTTTTTGGCGTAAGAAGATACGGTGAAACCCACCGTTTGGCTACGAACATTTGGTCGTATTAGCGAGGTTTTCAGGAAAACAAAATGATTGACAATCTATAAGGCCATTCGCTCTAATTGCGCGCACCACATGACTTGACAGAAATTAAACTGAAAAATATGATGCAACATGAACACAAGACAGAGTTGTTTAAGGGTCTATTTTTAAAAACCGATTGTAAAGTGAAGACTCACCGGATTACTTTTCGTTTTGTTTCCCTGTCTCATCCAGGATTTGAAATCAGTGCATGCACGACACGGCTTTTTACCGTGAAATTGAGACATGTTCTCGCTTCGGTCCGCCATAGTTGATAATTTAATAACGATGTCATGTAAGCTGAACCGCAAGCCATTTGGTCTTAGGCCTCTCTCCTCCGCAGAGGCCTCTTTGTGTGAAAGTGAGGCTGGGAAGAAGAAAAATGCGCACGGGGAACGATGGGAAGGATTGTCAGTGCGTTTCACTACGAAGTAGGGTGCAAACAGATACAAAAAGTCATGATGTCAATGGCGAGAGGTAAAGGCCCCAGGATTGATAAAATTCCAATTCGTGTGATCAAAGATTGCTTACCTGCCCATCTTATCTCCGTTAACATCTATCAGGCATCTATCATAAATGGTTGATAACTGGACTGAGTGGAGTCCAATTCGGTCTGTAATCATTCGGGTGATACGCGGTCGTCCGATTTGTTTAAACTCGAGTATGATTATAGACCGAATTGGACGACACGACTGGGTTCTGTTACCAATTAATCATAACTTTAACAAACTTTGTGATATATAAGGCTCTTTTTAAAATCAAAACACAAGAAATTCCAAGATTTTTTTTGGGCAGGCAATGAAAAAAAAAGCCAATTAAGCGCGCACGTGATGGCGCGTACTGTCCAGTTACTTGGGCACGTCGCGTACTGTCCTATTAAACTGTCCTATTAGGCTGAAATCAGGGCAATTGATAACCAATCAGATCCGAAAATTTTGTTGTAGTTATGATTACCTGGAAAGAGCTGAAGCCACACCCGTGATACTCAAAACTGGGGATCATGAAATCCCAAACAACAACAGACCGATTTCACTGCTCCAAATTCTGTCAAACGTTTGAGCCGGAGCCGGAGCGACTTGACTTCACGATAACAAGCAGTGCGAATAAACACAACCTTGTCGAACAAACTACCTCAGTCCACTTCTGGCGTCTCACAGGGGAGCATCCTGGGTCCATTACTCTTTAGCATCTATGTCATGATCTCCCTTCGATTCCCAAAAACTGTTCCCCACAATGTTATGTTGATGACACCAAACTTCTGATGTCCTTTCAACAGCAGGATAAAGAAGAAGCGATTACCAGGATGAACCAGGACTTGTTGATGCTTAGGAATTGGTGTTTCAGTAATCAGCTCTTACTTAATTGTCCTATTTGGCAGCATACAAATGACTGACAAGGTAAATGATTTTCGCCTCTCTATTTTGGGGAATTAGGAACTGGACCCCGTTAAAGCTGGAAGAGACCTTGGTGTGATACTTTAACAATTAAGGAACATTATTGTTTCTATTGTGTCCTCATGCACGTCACGATAAGGCCAAATCAATCGCGTTAACAAGCTCAACGAACTTATTTCAACTTGTAGGCACAAGCAGAAGTTCCTCCTTGAATTCAATCGCATCCTTAAGGACCAATCATAAGTTTACACACACATACTGTTTTACGTTCGAATCGGCATAGATCATGTTGCTGATGTATATACAGCTATTTCGAGAAAGGTTGTCGGAAAAAGTGCACGCGACAATCCCGAAAGTTATTGTGGGTGATTTTCAGGTCACTGTTCTTCAAAGAAAGTCAGAATAGAATGGCACGAGAGGCCATGGACATATGTTTGCAAGTGCTAAAGGAAAGCAACAAAAGTAGGTTCGACAGCTACAAAGTCAGGAACAGTGTGTTGATCATATCCCATATTACCTGTCGGGATTGTCGCGTGGACATTTTTTCCGACAACCTTTCTCGAAATAGCTGTATATAAACTCTAACGATGCTTCAGTGTATTTGGAATTTAACGGATGAGTGGGTCAACGCGAAGTCTCAATGCAAAGCCTGGGTTGGCCTACACATCCGGGGATGACACGAAACAGATACTGGTGTTTATCCGTGTTACAAAAGTCCATATGAAACAAAGTTGAGTAGAAAAGCTCATATATACCTGCGCCTGGGTCCACTGAGCCGTTCCCAAAGTGAAGAAAGCTACACTAATATATATATACAATTGTATCAAAAAAAAATAAAATAAATAAATAAATAAATAAATAAAATAAAATAAAAAAAATAAATATATCTTAATCACAGATGAAGACAGAAAACAGTTTCCTTTCAATCCACCAATATTTCGATCACATTCACGATCAGTGATCTTCTTCAGGGTGACTAATTAGCCGTTAACGTACAGCACTTTTAAGATTGCTGAATTACCAAGGCAACGCGCGCGCATCACAACTAACAAAGTGACCATTATTCTAAAAATCTAACGGAAAATGTCATAGATAATATTAGGCTGATTTAGCAACAGGACGGGAACGTCAGTTGGCGACGGGAAAGCGCGCGGAAAGGACTAAACACGAATTCCGGTGCCCAATTTGCCGCTCTGCCACGTAAATTGCTTCTTAGTAACTTCTTAGCAGCTTTACACCTTCCGTTTGCACGCAATAGTTTTTTTATTTAAATTCTGCGCGCGCGTTTGTAGTCTTAGCGTATGTTGTAACGAACTTTTTGTTGGCAATTTTATCTGAGGAGTGCCGTACATGCCGTGCGGTACGAAACTAAGTCAAGTAATAAAAATGCCAAGTCGGATCTCACGATGACACCAGACAAACTAGATTATACTACGCTCTAGTCCTTCTATTGAGCACTCTTCCTTATAATTACTGTGCGAAATTACTACTAACAAAAAAATTCAAGGAAAAAAAAAACAAAAACGTTAATATTCCAAAAACAACGTTAATCAACTGAACAAGAATATGTCTTCTTCCTAAACAGGCAGAAAAGAAACACAAAATGGCCAAGGATACAATTATCCGTATATACAACCTTTTGTTGAAATAGTAATTTTTCAATTTCAAAACAACTGTTAGTAGAAAAAACCAGAAAGAAAGAAAGTTCGTCATGAATCCGAAATTAAAGTTTGAACATAAAATCGGCTTAGTGGTTTTAAGACTTTTAAAAACACGTGAAATGTTAAAAACTAAGAAAACTCAGCTTGCAACTGAATAACTATTTTACTAGACCTTACTAAAAGTTTTTCCAAGCTAATTATAGAGTGGTGACGAATTATAATCATACTGAAAACAGACACAACAAGACTGAAATTTTTATCAGCCGCTACATTGTTAAACCCGATCTAAATCCTTCTTTAGTTAAGTCAGTCGTAACAACTATCATGAAAAACTTAAAAGATTACTTATGAAGCGAAGCTAAACGAGTGTTAAGTAACCTCCCACGTTCTCAGACTCGGCTGTATCCTCGTCATCATGAAAGATGTACTTCCTTAGTTTTCCAATACTGGCAATAAATAATGTTAAAATGGGGTTAGTAGATTCAGATGAGATTGACACGGTTGTTAAGTTTTGGAGAATAGCTGTGACAGCATGTATAAAAAGAAGATTTCTATCAGAATAAAAAGACGAGATAATTAAACTTACTGCACTTGTTTTTTTTTCTATCACTTGCTAAATTTTTAGACATTTTCCAGGTCAAAAAATAAATACGTTTTTCTAACCAAGGTTATTTGATCAAAGTGAATGAAAGACAAAATGGGGTGCTTATTCTCGTTGCTTAAAAGCGAAGTGAGAGATAAAAAATTGTGTAATAGGCAGAGTTTATTATTCTCAACTAAAATAATTAATCATTCCTTATGGGTACTACGAAACAGAACGACACGTTTTCATTGAATAAGTACCAAACCTCAGTGTAAAAAGCAAGTGGTACTTTTAAAGAAAAAAGACGGTATACAATTGATTCCTCCCGCTAGCATTTTATTAAATAACCAAGCCGATTAACATGGGTTAACTGTGAAACCGTAAGCAATAAACTACTCACTGTCTGAGCCTGATGAGATAATGGAGGCTGCAAAGTGATTAATTTGGTCGATATAATGGGCCTGCATTTCAATTCTGTTGCATTAACATTAACCATTTTACATCCTTGAACTGGTCTTGCAATTTTCAAAAGCTTGTAGACGAGTACTTTGAGGGTTTAAATTCTTAGGCTCCAAAGAATCTTAAAAGTATTGTTCATCATTAAAATGGTGTAGTTAAGTCACTCGCAAAAAGAACTAATTATGCGTCTCATTTAAACCTTCCGAATTTCAAGCTAAATTTTCAGAGGAAGTTTTCGTTGCTAAGAGAACTAACATGATCTTTATCAATTGCATTTTTGGAGGTTAATTTAAAAGCGATTTAGCTTTCCCAATGAGTTCCGGCAGATAAGCCAAGAAACAGTAAAATTTACTTTGCGGGGCAGGCCCTCATGGATCACTGGACGTGTACTAAGAAACTGCCTTACTGATTGTCACTGTAAACTTCAATCACTAATTCCAGAAATGTCACCGCTAACAAATTGCTGACTCGTTAATTTCTTTTCATCATGTTACGGCCACTTGGCGTCAAAAAAGGTTTTAAGTGAAAGTAAATGGCGCCTTATCTGCGTCAAAGCGTCGTTTAGTTAGTCTGTATTTAAGAGCCATCTGTTTTAGCAGCTGCATCAATTTCTGCTGCATTTAAAGAGTCAGGATTTCTTCACGAAAATCGTTCTATTTAAAAGAAGAAAACAAACCCTTGTTTAAAATTTGGACCACGCGCAGTTTATCTTGCAATACCTCCCGCTAAAGAATACTTTCTGTTCCTGATATTGATTAGAACCATCAGAGCAAAAGCAACAGACAATGTTGATATAGCTGAGGAAGACAACCACCAGAAATAACGGAACCACAAAAAATGGTTTCTACAGAGGTAACAAAAAATGTTCAAAGCCGAACACTTTGATCAGAGTATCCGGGAGAGCACCAGGCAATAAATACGACGCAGCTACGTGATAAATTAGTTTAAGAGATCCAGACGATAAAAAATTAGTCGATCGATTTGCATTTGGTAATTCGGATCACATTAAGGTTGTTTCAGATATCTCTCAATAGGCTATCAACTTCGCACACCAAAAAATTCAAAACTCAAGATTGTTTATTCGATTCTATATAACACATAATGACATAAGCTCAGGTACCTTAATCGAATGATGGTGGTTAGAGGTAAGGATTTGAGCCTAAAATTCAGTGTAACAGCCCCGATCGAGAAGGAAACTGCACCTGTCGTTATTCAGTCCTAATCAAGCTCTTCTACAGCATCAGCACAAAACTGGCGTGAAATGAAGAGCAAGTGGATAGAACTTGTGGTAGAGATCACGATTTTAATCATAGGACTTCTTGGAAACGTATTTGTCCTCATTATAGTCCATAAGAAACAAAGCAGAAAAACAGTTCATGGAACGTTTGTAGCCAGTCTGGCCATTGCGGACTTGTTGTTGCTGTGTTTAGACTCGCCTAAATCCATTTTAGGTAGGTTTGACGTAACCTCAAGCACGTTCAACTGCAACTTAAGTCTAAGTTTTGTTACAACAGCCTACAATGCAGGACTTTTTACAATCACATCCATGGCGATTCATCGGTGTCACGTTGTTACCCAGCCATGGAAGAAAAAGCTAGGACATAAAAGAGGTGCAATTTGGGTGTCTCTTATATGGTTGACTGCTTTTATTTTCGTCATTCCACTTATTGTGGTGAATAAACCTGTGGAAAATAGATGTGAAGAAGACTGGCCTTCAATTGGCTATCGCCAAGCATACACTGCATTACTAACGACTGTACAATACATACTGCCGCTACTTATAACAGCGACCTGTTACATACGAATATGGCTGTTCTTACGCAGGAGACCTGTTATGCCACGAAATAATAAAAGAGGAAAAAGCCTCGCGACTGAAGAAGAAAGCCACAAAGAGGGTGCAGTGATACTCAGAAGTGTTGCAGTGATCGTTTTGTTGTTTTTAACTTGTTTACTGCCAACTCAAATTGCCTGGATGTTGCAGGATTTCAGACATGTTTCGTACGATGAGCTGTGGTCTGCATCAGAAATCCTGACAAGGTTACATAGCTGCTTAAATCCGGTTGTGTACGGTGTCATGAACAAACAATATCGTCGTACCTACATCGAATTGTTATCCTCCATGTTCTGCTCTTGTCGTTCCTCCAATCAATCCTCTTCAAGCCTCAAACTGATGCCACGACAGCTGTCACTTCGAAGTCACGCGACAAGTAAGACCACCTGTACTGAGTTACAGGCGCGTCCTGTCAGAGAGAGCAACCGGAAACAAAGTGTAGGAAATTCGACTGCGGTAGAAAATCCTTTCAAACTCAGTATCATAAAGTGATCGTTACTATGCCGGTGAGACCAGGCTGTATACATATTGATTAACACCTCTTCAAGCTCTTTAGTGAGTCTTTGATTGATCCTAATGGAAAAAAGTGCTTACCTTCCTAATGAACAAAGGGCAGCTTTGTTGCCTAAGTGAAGGGGATAAATAAACTCACGCCGCAAAATATCTACTAGATTAATATTCTTTGATTTTAATCACAAATAGTTGGATTTAACTTAGCTTGAGAAGATAAGATATTCATATGAATATAGAATATTGCTGAACAAGCCGTGATTTTCGATGGATCAAGTCTCCCACAAGTTGGGCGTGTTTACAATCGCTCATCACCATTCTGTACATTCTAATCTTAAAGTAAAGCTTGCATGGGCGGGATTTAAATTCAATTGGAACTTTCCAAAGATAAGACGAAGGATTTCCTACTAAACAGCAGCTACACTTTAATATGATAATATAATCTTTATTGATAAATAAGTACACAAAGCACAAGTTAACGATAATAAGATGCTAAAGCCAGAGGCTTACATGGCGTAGGTCAGAGAGTTACAATGTGCTGTTAAGTGACAATGAGAATAAAAATTAATAATTACAAGATTAACAGAGAAAAGGCAAACTATTACAACATATAAAGAACTATTACTCCATATAAAGCAAAATAAACATAACAATTAATGATAGTGTGCAAAAAGTAATAAAGAAAAGAGTTTGAAGGTAGAGAAATTTGAGTTCAACTTAGTTGAAACTTATAATGATTGAAAATAATCTCTTAGTTTATGTTTATAACTAGAAAGAGTAAGTGAATTACGAAGTGAGAGGAATGTCATTCCAAATTTGAGGACCCTGTACCCGAAGAGAAAAAGAATATTTGTGAGTATGAAGATGTAAGTTGTCTTTTTGCCTGGTGAGATATTGATGACAATCAGTTTTAAGAACGAAAATAGATGAAAGAGGAGAGGGCAAGAGCTTCTGCATGTGAAGGAAAACAAAGCAAGAAGCTTGGTACTTATAAACATTAAATATGTTGAGTATTTTGAATTTCTTGGAGAATGAGTAATGATTCTAGAGTATGTGGATGTTCAAATAATAAGATCAGTATTGAAGATATGGGAGTATTAAAGAGTTTTATAATCTGTAAAGAGTATTAGAAAGGAAAAACTGTCGTGATTTGATAATAATCCCACTTGATTTGGCAATTTTGGAAGAAATGGCTTTTATTTGAGCCTGCCACGAGAGGTTTTGATGGATAACACCAAAGAATTTTACGTGTTCTACTCTATTAATACTATTCTTATTAATGTTAATATAAAGATCATCAAGATTTATTTTCTTCCTTGCAGGGTGAAACAAAATAAATTTAGTCTTGTCGGGATGCAAAGTTAGCTTGTAAGCTTTGAACCAGGTAGCCACAAAAGAAAGTTCATGATTCACAATTTTAGTTAGTTCAGAGATATTTTTGTGTTGAAAGAAAATATTAGTGTCGTCTATAAAAAGGATGAATGAAAGATAATTAGAGCATAAAAAATGTCATTTATGTACATAAGAAATAAAAGTAGCCCCAACACAGAACCCTGAGGAACACCACATTTAAGTGGAAGCAGTGGAGATTTCCAGGAATGGATTTGAACATATTGAGAGCGAGAGAGGAGACAGCTATGCGTCCAGTTAAAAGGTGTGCCTCGAATACCATAGAAGTTTAATTTATCTAAGAGGATGGAGTGATTAACGGTATCAAAGGCCTTCTTTAGATCAATGAATATGCCAATTGTGAATTCGTTCTTCTCAAATGAATCAAATATTTTATTAGTAAGTTCCAGTATTGCCATAAAAGAAAAATGTTTCTTTCTAAACCCATACTGATGATTATTGAGTATGCTGTGTTTAGTGAGATAGTCCATTAGACAACGGCACAAGGCACTCTCAAGGATTTTAGAGAAGCAAGGTAAGATTGAGATAGGCCTATAATTAGTGAAGTTAGTGCTATCTTCACTTTTGAATATGGAAAGTACTTTGATGATTTTAAGCTTATTGGGCACAATGCCAGTCGAAAAGGAGGTATTGCACATTTGAGAGAGGGGAGATGCCAAGAGATCAATAGATGCTTTAATCACGTTAACATTAATACCGTCCACTCCCTCACTGTTACTACTCTTCAGAGAGGACACTATATTGATAATTTCATCAGGGGTAGTAGGTGAAGCAAAGAAACTATCACTAAAAGAACCACACAAATATGATTTGTGGTCAACAGTGGAGTGGGGAATTTTAGTGGCAAGAGAAGGACCAATGTTAGTAAAGAATTCATTAAACTTATTAGCAATTAATTGAGGGTTATTAATAGTGTTACATCTGTTTTCCTTCATGGCAGTAGGCCCGTAACTGGAATGTTTAGAAGAGATAACAGATTTAATTAAGGGCCAGGTTTTTTTAGTGATGAACATATAGAAGACAATTTATCATGGTAGTACTTTTTCGCACACAGTTTGATTAGATAGTTGTATTTGTTACGGAATTTGGTATATATAGCTTTGTTAGCTGGTGTAGGATTATTACAATATTGTTTATATAGAGCGTACTTCCTACGACAGGAGTTTTGGAGCCCTGAGGTAGACCAAGGTTTGGCTATTGAATTTTGTTTGACAGTGATAATCTTAACAGGAAAGCATGTTTCATAGATTGGATAAGACCGTCCATAAAAGAATTGTACAATGCATTTGAAGACGAAGATTGTAAGAAATCCCAATTAATAGATGAAAGATGGGAACGAAAATTTTCAATGTTATGAGTAGTTATAAGGAGTTTATGGTAAACTGAAGATTTAGTTTTAGGTTTAAGGGAACAATTAGTGATCTGAAATATAGGTAAGTGATCAGAAATGTCAGACCAAAGGATACCACTAAATTTGTGATTGTCAAGGTCACTGGAGAAGATGTTATCGATCAAAGTAGCTGAATGAGACGTGATCCTTGTTGGTTTAGAGATAAGAGGATAGAAACCATTGGAATACATCAGAATACATGAGATCGATGAAATCATTAGTAGGGACATGTTAGTCATCATTAAGAATATTGATGTTAAAGTCAGCAAAAAGGAAACATAATTTATTCTCAAAGCCAGTTTTAGCAAGGACTTGTTTAATTTCATCATTAAAGATTTCAGTCTGAACGTTAGGGAGTTTGCATAAACAGCCCAAGATGACATTTTTCTCATTATTTGGTGGGACAATTTCAACAAAAACAGATTTAAGGACACAATTCATAGATTCAAGGTCACACCTTTTCTTGTATTCATAAGTATCACAAAGAAATATGCCAACACCACCTCCTGATCCAACAGGTCTTGGTTTAGAAATAAAATGGTAACCAGGGATACTATACAAATCATTAGACATGAGGCCAATGGCTGAGAAAGATGTATTTAGGGTGGAGAGGTATTCCTCTAGGTCAACAGAGTGTTTTTTAAAGCTTCGTATATTCAAGTGAAATAATGAGAAGCAGTTGGAGTTAGAGGAGTCAGAGAACAGATTGTTGAACTGTGTACTGTTCATATAAGTACATCTAGATAGTAAGTTAGAAGTTGATGAGAGCATATTGATGTCTGGATCAAGGTCAGGGTTGTGAAGAAGTTGATAAGTATCAGGGTGTTCCAAGAACGGATTAAAATATTTAGTTCCCAAAGGAGAGCGGTCAAAATTGGCAGAAGGTTGAAGATCTAACAAGGCAAAATGGAAATCGGTATCACTATCAAAATGATTAAAAGGAAACGTGTCAGAGAGGCAGCTAGGACAATACCAGTCATCATGAGAATGCGTCAAGTCATTATATTCAAAAAGAGAAAGTGGGGTACATTTCAGATGTGTCCATGAGTGAAAAATATTGCTAGCTAGCTTCGTGGTTATTATGACCTCGAAATTTGCCTATAGAACACGGATTTTTGACACACTTTGGCACTCAGCCCAGCTGTTTCTTCACAGACGATTGAACGTGACAAAGGAAGCACAGAAAGGCTGGAAAGAATTGAATCCCATTAGGGGCTAAAATTTGTGGTTGGAAAAGGTTTGTAGCATTTTAGCGCCAAAAACACTATGTTTCCACGCGCGTGGACCAAAATCCACCTTTGTTGTTATCGGGCAAACAGTTAACGTGAAGACTATCTGTTTGGGAGTACGGCAGCCCAGTTTTTCATCGCGATCTACCAGGTTATCTAAGCAAAGGCCTAGAAAGACTGCAAAAACGCGCTATGAAGATTATTTACTCTGAGCTATCATATGCTAAGACTCTAGAGCTGTCTGGACTTTTAACACTGTATGATAAAAGAGAGGCAATAATACGGCAAATGGTTGTTCGACGAAGTACAGTGTGCTAATCAATCTCACTGTCTCCAAAATTAGTCTACTTCCAAGTAGATATCAGCTACTTTCTGAGAGAACATAAAACGTTTATCCGTCCAGAGTAAAACTGAAAGATGCAAGAATAGTCTTTCCATTAACTTATGTTTACAGAAGTTGAGAACTACAGGCAATGAGTTTATTATTGTATAGCTTTCGAATTTGTGATTTTATAACAGTTTTAAAAATGTAAATTAATATCTATCTTTAATTATTTGTAATTTATTACATTTGCAAACCCTTATCGCAATTCAGCCCTTTGGCTGAAAGTTTTTAAGGTGAATAAACTATCTATCCATCTATCGATCACAGATTGTTTGATCTCATTGGTGACTAATCAAAGCAAAACTTAACGCAACGTCATACCAGTCAGCGTTCAGTTCATTTATTTAACGCGAGTCGGGATGTGCCCTATTTTATGCTTTCACCTGAACATGACAAAACTTTTATGAACTAGTAGTAGCAAAGTAGCAGTTTCTTTAGTCACTGATGATATTAGCTGTGGTTAGGTTGGGGGGGGGAGGAGGGGGCGGGTATTCCGGGAAATTTGTGGTGGGGTTGTGCCGCCCGGTTCTCCAAATCCTGACCCTATTTCAGACTTAAAAAATTATCATTTTCCACACTCGTTTTTAGACCTGCCTGGCCTCTTAACCCTCTACCCGTTTTCAGACCTTGCGTAAGCAGAAATTATGTTATCATTACTTAAATTAGCACGCCAACAAAAAGATTTCTTCATGAAACCCATTTCGAATTGGCATATTCGAATCTTTCTTTGTTATTCATTTGGAACTGAAATGACAAATACGTTCATGCACTCCCGTATTCCCTCTAAAACCATACCCAAGTTCAGACCAAAATGGGCAAAGTCTATACCCGTTTTCAGACCAAAACGGTGCAAAACCCAAACCCCTTTGGGGTAGGAAATATAAGGGAGTACCTCCAGGGAGCTGTGGATCTAATGATGCTTTATTCCTTAGATCGATTTTATTATAAGCGAGATGGCTGGTTGCATGTATAACTTTGTACCAATGATGACATGATTTGTGTCTACAATTGAGCCCTGCACTTTTCCTAGTGATACTATTCAATATCTCTGGCAATAAAATGAATTAAACGACGCTATATGGACTTGAGCAATATATAACAGGATATCTTTAAAACTTTCATTTCCTACATTTGTAAATTTACAACAACTTATATCAATTTTGTCTCATTACGTTAAGTTTCCCTGCCATAAATTATTTCACTATATTTTTCTTATACAACAGTAATATGATAAGCATGCATTGTGTTCAAGTAATTCTTCAAAACATAATAGGTGACTTTTATAAGTAAAAATAAATGTCATGGAGTTTCTCCTTACGTTCGCTAAAAATGGAGAACTAAAACCGCACATATTTCAACTGGTGTTCTACAAAAGATCTTTTAAAAGTCACATTTTTCCTTTTTTGTAAGTTTCTACTGGCGAACACCCTCTTGGACTGCTGTACCAGGCTCTCAGATAGTATAGTAGGGAAGGAAAGCATGGCGCCCTCTTTTTCCGTCTCTGCGTTTTTCGCATCACTTTTTACTGGACGACCCAACTACTATATTGGAGCCTGGAACAGGCTAACACCCGCTGACCTTAAAATTCTAAAGAGGCTGGTTACGCACCGCAAGCCTTTTAAGCTTTACTACAAAAAAAACTCCAATGACACAGCTCAGTTGGGTGAACGATTCCTGGCTTGAAATCCTCAAAAGTATTCCTGTTTTGTGAATTCACGATGCATTTCGTACTCAATCTCGAAGTCCATTTTGGCCAACATCATTTCAAATGGTCCCTCTAAGAGAAGAAGACTCTGAGAACAAGGTTGGATTTTAGCGCCCTTTTTGAGGTGTAATCATAAAAATTTATTTCACATGACATGTGTGGAACGCTTTTTTGTCCTGTTGGACCGACTTTGTCCTCTACCGCATGGGGTAGGTTCCACTAAGGCAGTTCGTTGCAAAGTGCATGGAGAAAATAATAATGCTTTGACACAAATCCTGAAGCGCTTGCTTTGAAAACAGTAGATTATGGGATTAACAGCGGAATTTAAAGTTACCAGGACAACAGTTGTTGTGTGGACAATACCACCGTGAGACATCAAACCATAAAAATCCAAAACATAAACAATAAGGTTTGGTAGCCAGCATACTGCACACACAACTGTCACGGTGAGAACCATTTTAGTGACTCGTCTACGCGACTTGATCAGAGCTTGTTGCGTGACTTCAACTGGTTGTTCGCCTCTCACCCAAAGGTTATAAACCACGCGGCTATACAGGCAGGTCATAATACTCAGTGGGAGCAGGCCAATCACAATGAGCCACCCTAGACTGTATGCGTTCATATACCATCCCTTTGGCCACACCTCGTGACAAAAGTCTAACTCTTTACTGTAACGCACCACGAAGAACAAAGGAAAGTTCCACAGTAGAGAGAACAGCCAGCACGCTGGAATGATCAGTTTAAGTTTAGTTTTGGTGATGCGTAATTTGTCATCGTGTGGATACAATACTGCAAAGTATCTTTCGAAAGCGATAGCGATGAGTGACACAACTGAAACTACGCCCCCGATCCACATAAGGTTGCCACCGGTAATGAACTTACATAAGTAGTCACCTGAAGAGCCATAAGGATGCTTGAATGTATGTAGCAGTATGTACTGTGGCGCTATGAAGATAGCTACCATCATATCAGCACAAGCTAAGTTCACTAGCAGGTAGTTCATAGTGTTTCGCATGGATCTATTGCGGAGAACAACAAGACAGACCAGCGAGTTACCAATCAAATTCACCGCCACCAGCAGTGAAAAGGCTGTGCGAATACCAATCTGCGCAGGCTCAGAGAACGTGAACAATGCTGACATAACGCCGCGTTGTAGAACGTTTCGTCAGTAGCTAAAATCTATTGAAATGAAAAGACAAAAATTCATTACAATTACACATACAAGATCTCATTGCGACTTATCTAATGACACGTGTTAAAAGGGGTCAAAATGTCGACGCGAAGCCTCCTAGTTTATTTTTTAATTGACTCAGGTTTGGAAAAAAAGCTCGAATGCCCATCAGGCGGAGTTTATATGTCTCCTTCTAATATAAGATTGAGGAATGTCAACGGTGTTTGAGACACTTTTCCGGTACACTCTTTCTGGGAATTCTTTTTAGACATATTTCTTTGAATATTCTTTTTAAAGGTTGCTTGCCGGAATCTAAACAAAATAGTCAAAATCCATTCATCGGGTATGAAAATCTTAGGTTGAAACAATTATCACAAAAATCTCGCCAATCAACAAACAGTTCTGCCAGCATTTTAAATCCGGACATTGGAGGTTCCGGCTTTGTTTTGGCAGGACTCCATCAAGCCGTCTTAGTGCCCAATTTTCATTCTGTATAAGTGAGAGTCGCCGAGAGCGTAACAGCGACTTTCCACTGTAGTTTTTTCACGGATAACAAATTTAAATGATATCCCAGATAAGAAATATGTAAAACCGTACTTCAACTTTCCTCGTAAGGAAGTACCTTTCATTTTACGCCACTAACGCAAAATTCAGGCCACAATATAACTGAATTGCATTTGTCGAATCGTGTTTAGTAGATACAAATAACGCTGAAAAATAAAGGGGCGAGTTCAGTTGATTCTGTTGTTGCTCAGGACTACACTATACACTTTTGATAAGTTTGAGCAGACCACGCCACTCGGAAAAAGTGCTTTTCGACAGATTTGACTGAACCTATTAATTTGGCCGTTCAACAAAAGTTCCATTGACTTAGTTAACGTGACATTCATTCACAGAATCGCACACCAGTTCTAAGAGCCCACTGAAATGAAGTTCAAATCAAGTTAATTCTCCGCCTGTTTAAAAATAAGAAAGAAAACCTACCTCTATAATGCACAAGTATTCAGTTAAATTTCACCAAGAAAAGAAAGTTTCAGTGAAACGGAAAGCAGACATCAAGAACAATAATTCTCTTCTCTACTGGTTGATATACATCTGATCTAGTGGATGACGTTTTGAATTTGTTATGTACTATATTAACCACAACTTAGAAACAAAAGCAATATATGCTGTACAACAATTCAACTCAATATTAAGATAGGTTAAGTTCATGCAATATTTTTGACACGAAAATTCAACGAGTTGTGATAGTTTGTTGATGAACTTTTACACTTCAGTTGTAAAATAGTGAGTATAGTTTCCGCAAAAACATGGTACGGTCAACTCATTTAGCAAAGTGTTGCTACATTATTTAACAGTTCTGTATTGTTATGTTAACGCTCGAGAAAAGATCATTATTATGGTAATGATGATTTAAAAAGGAAAGTGAGTGACTTTTTTGCAATTTTTATCCGTAAACAACGCCAGGCCACTCTTTCGAGACACAGATATACAGTTTGAAGACAAAGTTCTAGAAAATAAGGATTTTCTCTAAAACAGCTTTATTGGGTTTCATTACCTTATAAATAATTACTTAGAAAGTTTTTAGAAAGGAAATAAAAAAGGGGAAATAAAAAAGGTATTAAACCCAAAGGGGACTGAGCACAAAGGAAGTCATAAGGGTCATAGGGAGCCATGCAAGGTACAGACAGCCCGAATAGATAGTTAAAAGAAAAAAAGCAATGTATTAAATGTCGTTTAACCAGCCACATTTTAATGCCATTGCTGAAATTAAGGACTTTTCGAAATATGTTAGTTCATTTCGGAATTTTTTACAAACAAAAAATCTCTTAAAAATCCGCCCTTCCATCCGAAATAATACAGAGGTTACCTCCAGGAATTAAAAATACAAGCAATTTAATATTGTACGCGGCGAACCTTGGCTTCACGATATTTTACATACATTTCAATACTGAATTACCTACACAAGTGATTCATTCTAAAAGAGTCTATCATTTATTTCAGCTTATACTGGAACACATCCTGTCATTATGCAAGTTTTTCCTGTATAGGCTTAGCATTCTTTACAATAAATAAATACGACCTGACATGTTAAGCCAGGTCATAAAGAAAACTGTTCTGATCCCTGCACAGAATCAAGGTTTCCTTAAGAGCTGTTATATCAAGGCGGTCAGTGTAAAACGCAGACTGCGGATATATATTGTTTACACCATGCAAATCTGAAATGAGTATGTGACAACAATATTACCATTGTTTTCTAACCCTAAAAACAATAGTTCACAGTCAGTCCGAAGTCGGTCCGCAGTCTGCATTTTACACTCCCCTTACAAAAGTGCGTTTTAACTAAATTTTAGCTGATCATAAACAATTGTTTTGCAGTTAATAAGTGTTTTCTTTAAACAATGACGCTCGATAACTACGGAGCCGTGTCCTCACAGTATTCTCATAACAAGCACCAGTTTTGTACCCTGCGGGCAGAGGCCCTTCGATCTCCCTAGATAAGTCGGGAAGAGACGTATCTAGCAAGATCGAAGGGCCTCTGCTCGCAGGGTACCCGTTTTCTAAATCCAGGGTGATTTATATAGAAGGAATCCAAGGTGTCATCAACACTTTTGCCTTTCAGATATTTTTCAGGCATGCAAAAAAAAATTGTCCGAATTGTACGGCTCTTTTATTTGTACATTCCTACATTTATTCAAACAACTTATGTACATGTTATGATATTTTTGCAATTTTAAATGATCTGTCTCGAATTTGTTTTAGGTTTGTTTTGTTCTTTTTTGCTAAAAGTTTTATTCTGTGGGAATTTTTCAGATTGAACTTGTTCTTTTTAAGATTCTTTCCGATTTAGTAAATGCAATTGTTTCTCTAAAGATTTAAATTGCCTTCACCCGGAAACAACAGACGTTTTGCGAGCTATAGTGAGAAGGTAAAAAAGGCAGTAATCTTAATGGCTTTCTTATTTACGATTTGCCCGTCAAAATAAAAAGAAATAGGAATTGCGACTTTTAATATGTTCAAACATGAGCAAACAAAATATGCCCGGCTTTGAATTGACGCCGGAGAAGCCAAAATTATATTAAGTATCCATTGCAAGTGAATTTAGAACCCGAGTTGGTCAGTGCTTCATTCAAATAGTCTAAACGTACGTTAATTAAGTTCGATCAATTATTCAGTCACTGAATTTCTATGAGCAGTGCACTAATTTCTTCTCTTTAAACCTACGTACTAATTTGGCTTACAAAATAAATTATTTTTCACTCACCGTTTATCCATCACTGATAAGTGCTTTCGGGATGTTAAGCTATTAACTGTAATTATAAATCTCTCAAGTCAGTGATCAGGAAGCTGCATAATTGTTAATGACATACGATTTATCAGCGAAGTGAATCAATCATCGATCATTGAAAATAGCAAAACCTATATCTCACCAAAAAAAACAAAAGGCTGCTTGTGAACTCTTGTCGGTTCTCTCATTTGCTATTTTACTGCACTACTTAAAGAACAAATAGAAACTCAAGTGATTTTCCGCAGGTTAAAACTCTGCTTCAGTCAATAATTTTACCCATGCGCAAAAAGAAATGAATTTAAGATCCTACAAAAAAAACCAGGGATTTTGTCGATTCTCTTTTTTTAAAGCCGCTTGGAAAGCATTTTAAAAAATTTAGCCTTAACGACGACAACGTTTTCTATGTTGCCGCTGTCCACCTGCACTTGAAGCTTTTTTTTAAGAAATTAATGTTATTACAACCACGTCTCAACTGTTATAAACTATGTAATTTACTATTTATCTTTACTTGTTTAAAATATGAAACGTTTCGTGCCAATCCCGGCACTTAAATAACCTACTTACATATCTTAGAGGAAATGGTGTACTCACGTTTTCCGTAAAAACAACTCACATCCCCAGGACAGAACAGCTGTCTAACTCTCAAGGAAAAAAACAGTCGCAAATACAATGGAATTGTATAATTAATGTTATCAGCCTCCAAGTGGAAGAAAAAGGATACTATGTTCATTTTTATGAATTGAAAAGTAAATTGTAAGTATCACGAAATGCAATCAAGCTCATCAAGCAAAATAACTAGGTAAAAAATGATCCTTGCCATTATCATGATCATGTGTAGTTGTTTTAGAGTGTAATTGTGAAGCCCTATTTTTTTCGCTCTTTTTTACACTGCTTGTACAACTAAAAGACATGTCTGAGGGGATATAATTTATCAGTAAATCGCTTCTTTCGTATTTCATACATGATTTATTCATTCGCATTCAGTTATTCTGCTCGCGCGTGTGTTGGTCTGCTCTCATCTACAGTCTCTGCAAGGATCTGATTTTTCATTCCCAGTGATGCCTCAGCAAAGGTCTTGTGATTGTCTTTGGATTGATCCTCTTTAGGCCGCAAGAGCCAAAAGAAGTCTTAAAGTGCATATATGGCTATTGTAGGTCTGCTTCTCTTATGTTCTCATAATTATATTTCAGACAGGTCATAGTTTTCCAATTAAAAAATACTCGAATGATTATAATAATTTTTTCCTCGAAGGCAGTCCGTTTGACTTTGTAAACAATGGGTTGGTTTGAGCTTGCGACACATTCCATACTATAACTAGCTCAAACAAAAACAAAAACAAAAAAAACAGAATAAAATCTGGAAACTAGGATAAAAACTAAAAAGAATAGGTTAGGGTTTTACACAAACATGGCAAACAGATATTTTGTATATTTGAAGCACTGAGTTGACATTAAACTACGGGACGGCAACTATTTGTAACTAACCCTAACTATCGTGTAAGAGCGTCTTTTCAGAAAATGAGCATTTTCCAGGAAACGCCTTGGCATTTTGACAAATTCTCAGACTGCCCCGTAATGCGCAGAACCTATGCGAAAAGCAATAAGAAGACCCGGTCCCGATGCACCTTCCTCACCCCATCAAAATTTACTGACCTGCTTCCAAGTATTTTTACTCAATTCGA